TCTGCAGCCACTGCTCCCCAGCCCACCCCAAACTCTAGGCCCTCAGCACCCAAAAGGCCAGAGGCGCAGCTGGTGTCCCGGCGTCACTGCCAGGGACCAGGGGCGCCCAGACTCACCCAGTGTGCAGGCGTGAACCGCCTCATGACCACCGCGGGGCCGAAGGAGCGGGCGGGGTTCATGGAGCAGCCGGTGAAGTAGATCTGGACAGAGAGAGGGAGGTGGGGAGGGGGACAACGTGCATGTCTGCTCCCACCGAGCCCCAACTCTCCCAGGGTCACCCCGCAGTCCAGGGGCTCGGCCAGATCTCCAGCTCAGGATCCCCAGTTCCCAGGCTGGTGACCTCTCCCTCCACCAGTCCCTGCGACCACTCCTCTCTCCTCCGTCCACTTTTCCCATTTTCCCTCGGGCTAGGGAAGGATTGGGGGCTCCAGTCTGGGACAGAGTACAGCAGCGCCACCCCAGGCCCAACGGCAGGGCTCCCTGGTCCGGAGAGGCACTGCTCTGGGGCCCCGTTATTTGCCCAGAGGGGCTCCCCATAACCCAGCCACATGGCAGCTCTGCTCACCCCCACGAGGTGGCCCAGGGTGACGGACAGGCCGATGGACAGGGCCGGGGAGCCCACGGGGCCGGTGCGGCGGGGGTCGGTGGAGGAGAAGATGCAGAGCGCCAGCTGGAAGGTCAGAATCAGCTCCACCACCATGGCCTGGCCGGCCGTCGTGTTGTTGTTGAGCTGCAGGGGGAAGGAGGGTGAGGCTCGCCTTCCGGCTCTATGGCCGGGGGCCTGGAGAGAGGGGTTCAGGGCCTCCGAGGACACCCCAGCCCAATGCACGTCCAGGCAGGGAGGCTGGCTGCCGGAGCCTACACCCTTCACAGTGCGTACAGGGCCCGGGGCGGGGGCCGGGGCCGAGGGTTGGGATGAGGGAGCTCCTATTGGCACAGCCCTGTCAACGGTTCTGCCCCCACAAGCTGGCATTTCCCCTCCCTCCTGTGGGCAGCTGCCCAGTCTGCCCACTGCACCCCCAGCCCACCTCCCGCCCGTGCCTGAGCCACTGCCAGGCCAACCTCAAACCCGTCTCTCCAGTGCGGCTGACTCACGGCCTGACAATGGCCGAGAAAATCCACCTCTGTGTTTGCCTAATGAACCCAGTGTGCATGGGACATGGGGGCTAAATCTGGGGCTTGGGGTGTTGGGATAGTCTTCCTTCCCATGGGTCTGTCTCTCTGGACAACCCTTTGAGCGTAGGCACCAGCAGAGGGGAAGGCAGCAGGGGGCCAGGAACAGGAGCCAATATTCAACAGACACCCTCCCATTAGAACGGAATGAGGGGTTCACATGCATGATCTCTAAATGGGAGCCCTGACACCTGCTGTGGTGAGTGGCCGCCATCCCCTTGCAATGGCTGAGGAAAATGAGACTCAGAGAGGCCAGGGTCAGCAGAAGCCAAGATTGCAACCCTCCTCTCTGATGGTTCCAGGGAACCACTCCACTGAGGAACGGAAGGGAGCTGTGAGGGCGCCAGAGGAAGGCAGAGCTCAGGGGGAGACAGGAGAAAAGGCAGGAGCTTCGGACAAAAAGGAGGGGCCGTAGGCACCAGGAGAGAGGCCGGGAAGGGGCAGCAAGAGAGGGGGCAGGTAAAACCCAGGAAGGCTGAGCAGGCACACCCCAGGGCCCCGGGTATTCCTCTTCCTGGCCTCCGTGGTGTGCCCTGGCCCACCCCCAGCCCCGGGGGGCACTCACCGCGTTGACGGCCAGGTTGCCCCGCGCATTGGCTGGCGCCAGCCCGTAGAGGATGCCCGCGCCGGCCATGGCCCCCAGCAGCTGGGCCACCACGTAGAAGACGGCGCGCAGCAGGGAGATCTGGTTGCCCAGCAGGAGGGCCAGCGTGATGGCCGGGTTGATGTGGCCGCCGCTCACGGGCCCCAGGGCCTGGGCCAGGGTGCCGATGGCCAGGCCGAAGGCCAGCGCGATCTGGAGGATGGAGGGCAGCGCCGACGGCCACTGCAGGGCCGAGCCGAGGCCGAAGAAGACGAAGATGAGGGTGGCCAGGAACTCGGCGAACACGGCCTTGACGAAGGCCACGGAGCACACCTCCTTCTTCATGGTGGCCGCGGGGCCCGGGCGGCGGCGGCGGCGGGCGCCCGTCGGGGCGGCGGTGGGGGCGCGGGGGACGAGGCACCGGCTCCCGGGGGCGCGCTCTCCGGGGCCCGGCGCGCGGCGGGCGGGCTGGCGCGGGCGCCGCAGAGGAGCGCTATATAGCGGGCGGGCGCCCCCCGCCGGGGCGGGCGCGGGGGGGCAGGGGGCGGCTCCCGCGCTCCGCGGCCAGTGCCGCTCGCGGGGAGCGCCCTCCGCGGCCGCCCCGGGCTCTGCGCCGCCGCCGCCGCCGCCGCCCCGGGCCCCGCGGGGGCTCCAGCCCGGGCAGCGTGCGGCCTGTCGGGGCCAGGGGACCCGCGCGGCGGCGTAGACCGGCCCCGCGGCCGGCGCCCCGCGCATGGCGCGCTCCGGGCGGCTCCCGCGCTCTGCTCCGCGCCGCGCGCCCCGGGTCCCGCGGACACTTGGCTGGGCTCCCCCGTCCTGCTACCGACCTCCGCTGCCGGGCTCACCCCCCGCCGCGGTCCTCCCTGCTCTCCTCCTCCGCTGGCCCCGGGTCCGGCTCCTCCTGGGCCTCCCGCGCCCCGGGCATCCTCCCGCAGCTTCACCCCGGCGGGTGGCGGGGCAGAGTGATGCGATCCCCGCGGACAGCGCCTCTCAGCTCCCCGCTGGCGGGGGCGGCCGGCGGGCTGGGCCGGCCGTGCAGGGCCGTCAGTCCGGCCGGCCGTCGTGGGCCTCTCCCTGGCCCGGACTGGGCGGGCCTCCCGGGCTGGAGTGGGGGCGTTTTGGGAAAAGCGAGCGCCCGGGACAGGCTTCCCCGCACCTGGCCATCCTGGACCTCAGCAGCCACAGGGCAGCCCTGGAAGGAGCCGGTGGAGCCCCGGAGGCACCCTCTGCTCTGCAACCGTCCTACCTCTCCAGCATGGCCTGCTTGGGGGGCCACTTTGTACACGGGACGGAAAGAGGGGCATGTTTAGGGTTTCAGGCAGGGAAGGAGCCTGGGACCTGGGGCGCTGGAGTGTGGTGGGGTGGGGTGGTGGGGCTGTAGGGCACCGCGGACCTCCCATGCTGGAACTGGGCTCTCCCGCCTTCCTTTCAGAAGCCCCCACCCCAGGTCCCAGCTTTTCCTTCTCCTCCAGCTTCTGCTCCACGCCTCCCCTCAGCCTCGTTAGCCTCCTTGTCCTTCAGACTCTAACTCAGCCTTGAATTTCCTCCCTCTCTCTGCAGCTCCCCTGGCTTCCTCCTTCGGTCTGTTTCTCCAAACCCTGTCCATCTCTCTTTTTCAGACTTTCTGTGTTTCTCCCTAGTCTCTCTCCCTCTTCTTCTTTCCATTCTGTTCCCCACTTCCTTTTACAGCCTCAGCCTCTCTAGCCTCTCTCTCTAGTTCGCCTTCCTTCTGCCTCTTAATGTCTGTGACATCCTTGGTTTCTGTCTGTCTCTACCTCTGTTTCTATGTCTGTCTCTCTTCCATGTGGTCGTTTTCAATGCCCCCAAAGTCAGGTCCTCCCACCACTGACTGGTCTGGGTCACACTTTCTTCCAGTTCCCATGGCTCCTCCTGTCTTTGCACATTCTCTCTCAGCTCCCAGCTGCTACCCACCATTCCTCCCACCTCTCCCCTTTCCTATCTCCGGGTCAGGCACGTGGGGAATGAGGCTGGAGCGCCCTCAGGGCTTGGAGGAGGGGCAGGGAATGACTCTCAGGATCCCGGGAGGGGAGCTGCACTACCGACCTGCCCCCACCCTCCCCCACCCCCCATCCCACCGTGTGTCCTTGGGATGACTTAGCATGGAGCCTGGCGCGGAGTAAGGCTAAGTAAAGCTTCCTGGTGTTGCAACTGTAATTTAAAAAGCCCCCCGAAGGCTCTGTGTGGAGCTAAGGTGGCGGGTGCAGCGGAGGGAAAGAACAGGTGCTCCTCTGTCCGTCTGTCAGGCAGGGGCGAAGGGGAGGGGCCGGGAGGAAAGCCAAGGGCCTAGAGGTCCGGGCTCTGGGCTCCGTGGCAGCTAAGAGGCCAAAGAAAACAGGGACCGAAGAAACCCTGTTATTGTTCCTCCTCGTTCAGTGCTTCCTGCTGGAGTAGCTCCTCCCCCACATGGCTCCTCTTGAGGCAGGAGGTCTGTCTGTCCTTTCTGCCTTGGGTCTGGGGCCCTGCTCCTGGCACAGCATGGAGGCTGTGTGCAAGATTTTGTGGGCCCGTTGTGGGCCTGGCCCTGATACAATTTCAAAGAAATTGTTATCAAGGACCCTTATAACCCCACAGGCGTTGAGGGCTGTTGAACTCGCCTCCCGTCTGCACCCTTCTTCCTTCTTTCTTGTCTTCTCTCCCTGGGCACTGTCTGCGTGATCCCACAGGTCTCTGGGAGTGGAAGGACTCAGCAGTGCTCACAGGAGTCTGGCCACCAGGGGAAGCTCCTGCTTGAGGATTTGGCCCAGTCTTTTACCTCTAACCAAGGTCTTCGGCCTCCACTGTGTGATTCGATTCTGAGCTGCGTGTAAGGAAACACAGGCTCAGAGGTGCGGAGTCACACCGTGACCTGAGAGGGGACCCTCGGTGTCACCAGGAATGGGCGGGTGTGGCTGAAGGAGACCTGGCTGTTAAGATTGCTCAGATGGGGCAGCTGGTTATGTTTCCTGGGCCTGTGCTGGAGATCCTTCCCTCTCTTCCAACTCTCTATCAGGGTCCCTCAGTCCCCGGGTTGTCACGAACAGCTATAGGAGCTCCCGTGTCCTGGACTTGTCTTTTCTCTGAGCGCCAGGGCCCTGCCCTGCCGGCCCCAGAGGAGTGTGCTTCTCTGGGACCTTCGCGGGCTGGGAGATGGGTCTCCCTGCTTGTGGCAGAGAGGGTTAGACTGTCTCAGGGAGGGCCCCTTTTCTCCTTTCCTGACATAGAGACCACTGTATTCTCTGGGGGGCTGGGGGTAACGGGCAGGAGGTGATGCCCCTGGGCATCACATATCCCCAGTGTTGGGAAATAGTCATTCTCTCCACAAAGAGTTATTGAGCACTTATTATGTACCAGGGGCACAGGGGCTATAGCTATGAGCTAGCAGGCAACATCTCTGCCTCGTGGAGCTAATATTCTAGTGAAAAGAGACGGACAACAAATAACGGACATGTGCAGATTATATAGTACAATAGACTCTGTTCAGTGCTATGGGAAAATAGGGTCTGTGCTGGGGTGGGAGTGGAGTTTCTTTGAAATTGTAAAGGGGTGTCAGTGTAGGTCTTACGGAGAAGGTGACAGCTGAACAAAGACTTGAAAGAGGAGAGGGAGAGAACCATGCGTATGCCTGAGGGATGAGCATTCCCAGCAGAGGGAGCAAGGGGAAGCGTAAGGAGGTGGTGGAGGTGGTGGAGGACAGAGGCGGTGGAGGTGGGTAGAGGAGGTGGAGGACAGGGGTGGTGGAGGTGGGTAGAGGTGGTGGAGGACAGGGGTGGTGGAGGTGGGTAGAGGTGGTGGAGGACAGGGGTGGTGGAGGTGGGTACACCTGTCACCCCCCCCCCCAAAGGACTGCTGGCTTCTTTGAGAAATCAAGGAAGTCACTGAGTCGAGGACTGATGTGGTCTGACAAAGTTTGCAACACGGCCCCTCTGGTGCGGTGTTAAGGAGAGACTGGAGGGGCAGGAATGGAAGCAGGGGGACTGACATCCAGGGGGAGATGATGGTGGCCAGGACCTGAGGTGAGGATGTTTGGGTTCTGGGTCCCCTGTGAAGGTGGAACTGACAGGATTCTCTGATGGGGCTCACGTGGCAAGTGAAAGCAAGGAGTCAAGGATAATGAATGTTTTGGCCTGAGCAGCTGGAAAATGGAGTTGTTATCAGTTGAGATGAAAGGACTGCCGGCAGAGCAGGTGTTTTTTAAAAGTACATATTTTTATTGATTTCAGAGAGGAAGGGGGAGGGAGAGGTAGAGACATCAATGATGAAAGAGAGTCATTGATTGGCTACCTCTTGCACCCCCGCACTGGGGATTGAGCCTGTAACCCGGGCATGTGCCCTGACCGGGAATCAAACGGTGACCTCCTGGCTTATAGGTGGACTCTCAACCGCTGAGCCAGTGTGTCTGGCATAGGAAGCACAGGTTTGGAGAGAAGAGCAGGTGGTCAGTTTTGAACTCGTGGAGCATTAGGTTTGTCCCAGACCCTGGAGGTTCCTGCTCTGATTTTCCAACACAGTGCTACAGCCTGCGCGAGGGGACCAAAAGGGGCTGCTCTTGACTCTGTCTGCAGGCCACACAGCCTAGTCATGTCTTGGTGCCCTCTCCATGGTGCCACCCGGGTCACAGAGCCCGGATGCTCCTCCTGCCAGGTTGCCACCAATCAGTTGAGCATTGAAACCCTCACTGCACCATGCCTAACAGCAGCTCTGGGGAGCCCAGGATGTGCCAGGGACCCCCGTCTGCCTGCTGGCACTTTGGGCTGTACTGACCATCTCTAAGTTGTGGAAGAAACAGCACTGGTTTGCAAATGAGCATTTATTGAGTTAATATACGCAGGGTGCTGTGCCAGACAACACAGAGGAATGAGGAGAGACAGGAGAATGCCAGCTGAGAACTGGGAGGAGGCCTGCCCCTATAGGGCGTACAGTCTAGCTGGGGGGCATTGCATATGTACAGCTTAAAGATACAAAACATCAAAGCAACATTTGCAGGTGCAAAGTCTTTATCTGACACAACGTGGGGGGTTACGGGAATGGATGCTGCTGGGACCCAGTGGTCAGCTACCTCCTCCCCTCAGCTCAGAGCCTTCTCTGTCCCCAGATGTGACCCACTTCCATCCTCCTCCACCCTGAGTGCTCTTCAAGGGCAGAAACCAGCCCCGTGTTCTTCGTCATTTTACTCCTGCCCCGTCACAGCCCTCCCAGGGCCCTGTGTCCACCACTAGCCCGTGGGCTGGGCTGAACGGGCTCAGTTGCGTGCGTTGGTGTCTGCCAGGGGCTTCCAAGAGGGCCCGGGACTTGCCTCAGACTCCTCTGACTTCTGACTGGAACCATCATGGGGTTTTGAATAAAAGGCCTCAGTTCAAGTCTTGTCTCCACGGCTTCAGACCTATTTCTTAGCTTCAGTTTATAAAAGAGGAAGAACAGTACAGGGCTGGGCCCACTGAACGAGGGGGACACATTCTGAGAAATGCATCGTTAGGCAATCTTGTCACTGTGTGAACTCATGTCACTGAGTGAACTTACACAAACCCGGATGGAATAAACCCATGTACGTTTATACTACTGATGGCGCCGTAGGTTTGTTTGCACCAGATCATCACAGACATGTGAGTAATTGTTGTGCTATGATGTTATGATAGGCGATAGGGATTTTCAGCTGTTATAATCTCAGGAGACCACCGTCACATATGTGATGAATTGTTGACCTAATGTCACTTTGCGGCACATGACAGTGTTCGCCCTGCGTATCCCGCAGGTTGGGGTAAGGGAGCGCTGCAGTTTTAGGAGGATTACCGTAAGCGAGAAAACGCATGTAAGCACCCAGCACAGAGGCTGGGACACAAGAGATGCTCAAAGGTGCCAGTTCTCCTCCAACCCCATCACTTAGAATTTTGCCTTGAACTCTGACCTTAGTAACCCCAATCTGGGCCATCAGGGCTAGAAGTGGTGGGGATCTCACATTTAGTTCTGAGGGAGATGAAGCCCAGGAAGTGAAACAGACATGGAGAGAAATTCTTGGTAACTTCTAAAGGGACAGGTTGAGGGGAGGTGGGGTGGGGATGAAGTGCCTGAGACACATCGGGCACGGCCCACAGCTCAGAGCCCTGCAGTCTCTGGACTCCCAGAGAAGGACAGTCAGCGCCAGGAGTACCGCCTGGAGGTCACTTTGGTCTCTGACTTGAGTCTTCTCCCAGTTCTGTCTTGGAGGTCAAGTGGCTGGTCGGGGCGGGGGGGGGGGGGCACCGTTTGGGGGGGAGGCAGAATCACCTCCAATGACTCAGAGCAGCCTTTTCCTGACCCTAAAGGGAGCTTTGGTCAAGGAAGACAAAAAAGACAGATGCAGAGGTGGGCACAATTACAGGAATGGTCCTGGTGCTCGGTCCATCTCTGAAGGGAGAGGAGGGAGGAAGGGCTGGAGGCTCGGGTACACAGTGGGTGTTTGGTGCAATGAGGTACAGATACCTATAAACGCCCTGAAAGCATGAAGGCCTCAGAGAGCATGCAGAAGGGGCTCAAGGTGTGATTCTTAAGTTAGCTACGCAGCAGGTCGGAGAGGAAGGAGAGAAGGGATGGTCTGGGTGGTGGGAAGAAAGATAGGAGAGAACAAGCAGGGTGCACTCAGGTCAGGAGAGTTTAAGAGGCCGGATCAGGAAGGGGCCAGACCCAAGCCTAGGCCCTTCTGCCTGCACCTTGGGGTTCTCAGGGCTCTCCTTTGTTGGACTACCAACCAAAAGAGGTAAAAAGAGGAGGGGGCCGGGGCCCTTCTTCATTCTAGCCCCACGACGCAGGAATGGTGGAACGGTTTCAATAACGAGTGATGATGGTGTGAGGAATCAGGGTTCACACAGCATCTTTACAGGGAGCATCTCACTTAATCCCAGGGAATCTCACTGAGGGCCGACGCACTGGCCTGGAAATGTAGGAGCCCAGGCTCTGGACACAAATCCGCCTCGGCCTGCGCACGTCCTTTCCCTCCTCTGGCCCCCTGAGTGCTGGGCTAACTCTCCACAGTGGCTGTCCTGTGGGGGGGCGGCGGGAGGGAGCCGGGGAATGAGGAGGGGCGGAGAGGGAAGAGCAGCTGCTGGGGGGGGAGTGCCTGTAGTGGGATGGGTGATGGAGGGGTGTTGCCTGGGGCCTGTGGTTTCATACCCAAGTGCCTTCCTTGCTCAGCCAGCCACAGGGTGTGCTGGGTGAGAGGGCTCACTTGCGAAACGGAGTGTCCCCTTTCAAGAAGTGTCTAGTTGCAAATTTCTCCCTCTCCCAAGACAAAAAAAGCCAGGGGCCCACAAAGAACGTTTGTTTTCTCTGTCACAGTGGGAGGCTAATCTCTAGGTCTAGAGCCCCCTGGAGGTGGGGGCACATGCACACATGTGGGTCACATGCACGCGTGCACACACACACACACACACACACCCCTCTGCTTCCTCCCTGGGAGAGATCCTCCCTCAGGGCAGAAGGAGGTCCCTGGACACCCACTTTTCCTCTTTCCCAGAGGTCAGTTCTGGGGGAGCCATTCTCTGGTTGACACCTTTCCGCCTCCAGCAATGGGTCCTGACAAGCCTTAGCCCAGGGTTGACCTTGGGGAAATTTTCCAGAAGGGGCCGGGAGGGGAATTCAGGTGCTTGCCTCAGCCCTCTCCGTGGCCTCCAGACCCTCCCTTCTCCAGGGAGCACACTCTTAGAGCGCCGGGGAGGACCCTGGCAAGGACTCAATCCCACAGAGGAAGTGGAGCTACTGCAGGAAGGGAGGAAGGGTCCAGGGGAAGGTGAGAGAGAGGTCGCCAGCCAGGGCACACCTGCACCACCGCAGGCACACTCGCTCACACTCAAGAGCACGCACAGCCCTACACCTGGGGACAGAGAGCCATGCGGGGGATGAACACCCTCGCGCACTAGCGAAACCCCATTCCCAGACCCTCCATGGTGGGGTCTGCACACTCTCCTTCCCCAACCCAACCGACTCCTGGAGACAGGCTCTCCAGAACCTTCCTCCGCCCGCTCACCGGCCCTCCTTTCCCAGCTCCCTGCAAGGGTCCAGAGGGAGTCCGGGCCCTCCAGCCTGCGGCCTCCAGGCGGGTCGGCCGGCTCCCCACCACCCCGCACCCGGGAGCCCTGCAGGCCCGAAAGCAGCTACTCTGCCCTGCGGCCAGCGTTGGCCCGGGCCGGGGCGGGCTGGCGGGGCGGGGAGTCCGGGCAGGGCTGGGCCGCAGGGCCGGGGCGGCGGGCGCCTAGGCCTTGCTGCCGCGCGGGAGGCTCTGCGGCGAGTGCAGCTCCACCGACTGGCGCCGCCGCACCTCGCGCTCCTCCCAGTCGGTGTCGGGCTCCAGCCCCTTCAGCACGGCCAGGCGCTCCGCCAGGCTCTTGGAGGACGGGAACAGCACGTAGTTGTAGAGGAGGGAGCCCAGGATGGCGCCGACCAGCGGTCCGATCCAGAAGACCTGCGGGGGGAGCGGAGGCGCTGGGGGCGCGGGGCGCGGGGCGGCCCTGCTCCTCTCCCGCCGCGGCCCACGAGGCCTCACAGGCGTGTGAAGTGCGCGCCCTGTGATTAGAGACGGCCACGCGGGCAGTTGGGGGAGACCTGTGAGTTGGGGTTCAGGGTGCGGATTCCCCCGCGGACTGCCTGCGTGAACCTGGACACCTTATTCCCGACTCGGTGCCTCGGTTTCCTTTCGTTATAACACCGTCCAGGGTTGCGAAAACTAAAGGAGTTAATGTAGAATAAGGCCTGGCACACACTGAGCGCTAGATAAGTGCCAAATAAAGAATATGTGTTCGGCCAAAACCGGTTCGGCTCAGTGGACAGAGCGTTGGCCTGCGGATTGATTCCAGGTTCGATTCCGGGTCCAGGTCCTTGGTTGTGGGCACATCCCCGGTGGGGGGTGTGCAGGAGGCAGCTGATCGATGATGCTCTCTCATTTCTAACTCTCTATCCCTCTCTCTTCCTCTCTGTAAAAAAAATCAATTATATATATATATATATATATATATATATATATATATATATATATATTTTTTTTTTTTTTTTTTTAAATGTGTTCGCCAGCTACCGTTTATCAAGTCCCAAGGCGCCGAGGGACCTGCTCACACCAGTGACCTCAATCCCCCCCGAACGGTGAGGCCAGGGCGCCATGGTCCTCACTGACAGGGGGAGACTGAGTCTTTCAGCATCAGACCTGCAGGGTCCCCGGGCCCGGGAAAGGTGTGGAGCCCCCCTCCCCGACCTGTCCCAGGCCTGGCTGGGCTGGGTTTCTGGGGAGGACAGAAGGGCGGGAGGATTCTGCCATTACCCAGTGGTCATCAAATTTGCCGGTGACAACAGCTGGAGCCAGGGAGCGGGCGGGATTCATGGAGCAGCCGGTGTAGTGGATCTGCAGTGGGAGGCAGGGAAAGGAGAGAAAAGAGGGGAGGCCTGGGCAGGGAGTCCTGTGCCCCTCTCCAGACCATGAGCTCACCCTAAAGGGAGTCCACCCCCCGGACAATTAGGTTCATGGTATATTTACTGGGCTCTATCCTTTGATGCTGGAGTGAGATCTGTGCTTGGGTATCTGGCAGTCAGACCTCTGGGGTGTGTCTGGTCCTTCGTGGGAGTCTGTATCTGTCCCTGTGGGGTCTTTGTCTGCCCCTTGGGGAGATTCTTTGTCTCTGTCTCAGATGGTCTCTGGGCCTGTTTCTTTGGGGGAAAGTCTGTGTAGACAGTGAGGCTGAGACCATGACCCACCCCGAGGAGGTGGCCCAGGGCCACGGAGAAGCCGATGGACAGGGCAGGGGTGCCCAGGTTGTCGCTCCGGCGCTCGTCGGTGGAGGCAAAGATGCAGAGCACCAGCTGCAGGGTCAGGAAGAGCTCCACCGTGACGGCCTGGCCTCCTGTCGTGTTGTTGCTGAGCTGAGGACAGAGAGGGGGACAGTGAGCGTGCTCCCTGCTCCGGCTCCGTCGTCCTGTCAAGGCTCCAGAGCGGCCTGTGGGCGGGCTGCGAGCCAGCACGTCTGGGCTCACCAGCCACCTTAGTCCAAACTACCGCTGGCTTCTTCCTGGGCCCGTGGCCCACAGGCCGAGGGATGGGCTCAGACTGCCTGTGAGTCCCCGGTCAGAGGAGGAAAAATGACTCCATAGCCCAGGAGACTTGGGGGCTGGGATGTGTGCCTATGATGTGAGAGGAAAAGGCTGCGAAATCCAGAATTTCGTTTTCTTTTCTTTTTAATGTTTTTGTTGATTTTAGAGAGGGAGAGGGAGAGCGAGATAAAAACATCAATGATGAGAGAGAATCATTGATTGGCTGCCTCCAGTGTGCTTCTCACCTGGGACCCAGCCCACAACCCGGGCATGTGCTGTGACCATGAATTGAACCATGACCTCTTGGTTCATAGATCAATGCTCAACCACTGAGCCGTCTCGGACAGGCCAAAATTTCTGTTTCTTGAAGAGCAAGAAGAGAAAAGGTTTTGAATGCAGCAGGAAGTTGAGGCCAGGTAACAGGAAGGCCTTCCTCTCTCCCTAGGCCATAGGATCCTGGTGTAACCAGAGGCCTTTGTCAGAGGCTCCCAGGGGCCGGGACTAGTGTCTGGGGATAGTCCTAGTGTGCCCCTCAGCCCCACAAGTCCAGCATATGACTCGTTCCCTAACCTTTGACGGTTCCCTTTAACTTTGCCTGTTTCCCATTGCATTTCAGGCCTCAGTTTTGCCCTGTGATTTGCTCTCTGCACACACCATGGAGGCTGAGGTGAGGGTGCTGGAGCCCTGCACTGTGATGCCTCCATACCCACGTGGGGTGCCTGTGACCCCATGAGCCCCTGCCTTGGGCAATGAGAGAACTTGAGGCCAAGCAAAGAGGTAATTTCATAACTGGACCACACCCAGAACTGGATTTCTCTCTGGGGTTTGTCATTCTGTGCCCTACACCCTGCCCTTTGGGGCTGGGCACTGAACCAGGTAGACCTGTGACAGCTCTCACCTCCCATGCCCCTTCTGCAGGCCTTGAAACCCGACCCCTGGATCCTCGCCATTGGGCTGTCACTGTTGGGTCTCCTAGAGCCTATGCCCAACCCCCTGTGGGCCAATGTCACAGCCTGTGGTGGGGGACAGCGAGAGGCACCTTAAAGGCAGACACTTTGGAGGCCTCTGACTTACCACGGGCCCCTACTTACTTCCACCTTGGTTTGTCCCTCTGTAAAATGGGGACAACAAAATTCCGGAGGACTGTGTGAGGACTGGAATCGACAATGGCAGAGCCCCAGCCCCATTCCTGCTGGTAAATGGCTGCTCTAAGGGAGACGGTGTGGACAGGGGTTTGGTGTCAGACGGCTCTGGGTCCATGGCTTCCTGGTTCTGTGACTTGAATCAGTTGAACGCTGAGCCTCAATTTACCGCTCTTGGTAGAGGGTCCCAGAACTCACCTTACAGCATTATACCAAGATTGAGATGCTATCTGGCCTGGCACAGAGCAGGCGCACACCAATGGAAACTCCCCGGGGGCCAGGCTAGCCTTTCTAGGGGCCTCTAGCCTCTGGGTACGTCAGCCCCACGGCTGCCTCCCTGCAGCCAGGAGGGGTTCTCCTCAGTTCCTCAGGCTAGTGATAATCTTGGGGGAGACCTCCCAGACCCTCCCATTCTGAGGCTCCAGGCAGCTGTGACATGATGGAGGAGCGAGACAGAGTCCCCCTGGCTCCTTAGTTATCCTGTCGCCCCGCAATTAGAGATTCCTCAGTCACATCCTGACACTTTCTTGGCCCTGTTCTCAGGAAGTTGCTCTTTGTCTACGTGAACCTCCCCTTGCTGCCAACTAAGCCAGTTCTGTCCTCAATGGAAACGGTCACATTCCTCAGGCTGTCCCCGGGCATGGCCGTCCTAGCCCTTCGTCAGCCCTGAGCCCCCGCCCCATCACACTGTCCTTTCGGAGGAGGTAAGAAGAGAGAAGCCCCCCAGTTGGGGCGTCTATGTCCCTCGTATGAGAAAGGGCCACTCGCGCAGAGGAGGGGTGGCCACGGGGACTGCGCAGGACTCTTCCGACACACCAATGCTCTAAGCTAGTGGCCAGGGACAGAGCAGGCCAAAAAACACAGGAAACTGAGGCCCAAAGACGTATTTGTGTCTGGGCTTGGGCTTGGGCTTGGGCTTAGGGTGAAGGGGGCTGGGAGTCGGGGTTCTGATGAGGGGCACTGACCATTCCTCCCCACCCACGCCCTCAGATGCCCAGGCCCCGCCCAGACAAGAGGATCGGGTGGGGGCCTGGAGGGGCTGCGGCATCACCCTCAGCTCCCAACGCACCCACGTGCCGGGAGCCGCCAGTCATGAAGCCGGCAGTCAGCTCACGGGCTCCAGGGTCTGGAGACAGCGCCCCCCTGCTGCCCCCTGGATCTGGCACTTTCCCTGGTATTGACACCCGGTAGAACCTTTGGCTTGTACGTCCCCTCTCCGAGCCTCAGTTCCATGTTCTTAAGGAAGAACACCTTGGCAGCCGTAGGAGGTGTTGTGAGAGGCTGGTGAGGAGCCCCTCGCAGGAGGGCGGTACACGCTTAAGAAAAGGTGGGTCCTTCTCCCCTCAGACCCACGGGACTCACTCTGAGGTTCCTCCCAGCTCGGAAGGCACTTCTACTTTGGGACCCTGTCCTCCAGGCCTTCCTCCACGAGGGAGGGCAGAAGGCAGCAGCAGCGCCAGGGGTATCGAATCGGCTTCAGCGCTGGCCCTGCTGCTCCTTCCACCTGGTCCTCCTGTGGCAGCTGTGTTTCTGGTTCAGGCACCTCTGCTCCCACCCCCGCAGCCTCCCTCCGTGTCTCTCTCGGCACCCAGACCCTCACCCAGACCTGTTCCCTCCCCCCGTCCGCGCTGGGGCGGGGGTGCAGCGCGGGCACTCACCGCGTTGATGGCCAGGTCCCCCCGGATGTCTTCGGGTGTGATCTCGTGCAGCAGAGCGGCTCCTGCCACGGCCCCCAGCAGCTGGGCGGCCACGTAGAAGGCCGCCCGGAGGAAGGAGACGTGGCAGCCCACCAGGCAGGCCACGGTCACCGCGGGGTTGATGTGGGCCCCGCTGACGTGGCCCAGCGCCTGCACCAGGGTGCCGATGGCCAAGCCGAAGGCCATGGCGATCTGCAGCCCCGAGGGCAGGGCCTGCGGCCAGTTGAGGGCCGAGCCCAGGCCGAAGAAGACGAAGAGGAGAGTGGCCAGGAACTCTGCGAACACGGCCCGGGAGAAGGCTATGGACCGCAGCTCCCACATGCTGCCGACACTCCGCGGGCTGGCCCAGCGGTCTCCGGCCAGGAGGCTTGGGTCTCTCTCTCTCTCTTTCTCTCTCTCTCCCTCTCTTTCTCTCTCTCTCTCCCTCTGTCTCTCAGGGTTTCTGGGGAGGCTGGGTCATGGGCATTTACAGGGTCCTTCCGTCCAGCATTTGGACACGTGGGGCGGAGGTGGAGTTTAGACTAAGATTTCCTCCCCCTTATAGCTTCTCCCTGCCCCCACTCCCCACCCCTGCCCACCACATGCCTATCACCCCATCTTGGCCTTCACAGCTGAATAATGTTCCCCATTAATGAGCTCCAGATAAGGACTGATTTTCCGTGTTTGTCCCCTCGCTTAACCCCAGGGCTGTTGCCCCGGGGCCTCCCCGGCCCCCATGGGCCCTGTGAATGGGGATTCTGTAGGAGGTTTGCCAAGACCCCTCTCTCGGACTCCAACTGTTGGCCAAGGCAGGGGCAGTGCTTCACCCAGAACTGACCGGGGGGAGGGTGTCAGTGCTACCCCTTCTGGTGACTGGGAAGTTCTTCCTGCTGTCTGACCACCAGTTACTTCTTCTCTAAGGGGATGGAAAACAACAGGTTGGCTGTACACGGACCTGCCGAGGCACAAAGGGTTTGTGTCCCTTCTGTGTTCCCTTTCTTGCAGCCAAGCACCCGTAAGTGACTAAGCTTCACCCCCTCCCTGGAACCCCAGCCAAAGAGCAGCTCCCATAGCCTGGAGGCAGGGTGCGGTTCCAGGGCAGTGGACCCTGGCCCTGGGTGACGGAGTGAACTTGGGGTTGACAGGCAGCTGCGGGCTTCCATTCCAGCACCCCCCTTGTCCCTCTTTGTGACCCCCCTTCTCATCCAGCTCTGTAAAAAGGGGACAATAATGCAAGAGGTTCTACTTTACAATCTCCCACCGGCCCAGATTTTCAGTCCTGGGCCTGCGACTGGGACTGCTGGTTTGAAGTTTGGATTAAGTAAAATAATGTATGTAAGGTGCTCAAAGCGGTGCCTGGCCCACAGTAAGCCATCAATTAATACCGGCTATTATTACTAATAGTATTATTTATACTCCGAGGAGAATCAGTCTCCCCAAACTCACATGTTAGGGTTCCAGAAGCTGGGACAGAATCTGGGTACCCCCTGGAGCTCAGAGCCACACGGGGCTCTGGGGAGGACATTTCTGAGAGGCAGTGAGCTGTGCAGGCATACGGAGGCTGCAGGCTCGGTAGGTGGCTCTCCTGCCTGGGTGCCCACACAGCCCAGCACCGGGCAATGCCACTTCCTGCCATCAATGCTGTTCCAGCCCAGGGTCTAAGAGGCATTTGGGTCTGGGAATCCCTTCTACCCCCCTGACCTCACACCCTGCTCTTCCCAATCCCCCTAGCCCTGTTCCCTTTCCTGCGGATGAAAAAACAGGGTCCGTCTTGGGTGGTCCGGCGGACTAGCTTTTGGGCCCTGCTCTGCCTCCTGACCAGCAGTCCCAGTCGCAGGCCCAGGAAGGGAAACCTGGGCCGGTGGAAGACTGTAGAGTAGATAGAACCTCTTGTATTGTATCACAGGGGTCATTGAGGTTCAGGGAGGGCGAGTGACTCAGCTGAGGTAGCCCAGCAAGTTAGTGGCTGAGCTGGGGCTGGAGCCTCACCTCGAGAGCATTCTACCACACCCTGCCCTGCCGTCACACTCCGAGCCTCAGTTTCCTAGTTCAGAAAATGGGAGCAATGCTGCTCACCCCACAGTTGTTTTGAGGATGGAGCAAGAGAATGAATGGGAAATACTTTGCAATTGAGAAGGCACCACCCAAATATATAGAGGGACTGGTGAACCCAACTAGTGAGGAGGCAGAGGAAGAGAAGGAGGAGGGGAAGGAAGAGGAAAATGACCACCCCCTCCCCCGCCCCCAAATCAGGAATTCTCGTGGGGCTCGTCCTCCGGTGTATTTCCAGGGCCCAGAATGGTGCCTGGCACACAGGTGGGTGCTCCACTGTGTCCTGAATGAAGGAAAATACCCCTCCGCCCCTGCCTCCTGCTGAGACAGGCTGAGGTGCACCAGCTGGGCTGAGCACTGGGTGGATGTGGGCGCCATAGCCCCACATCCACTGCCCGCTCTGAGTCCGGTGCCCAGTAGTTTTCCAATATCTCCAGGTAAAGCTCCCCTCCCTCCACCTGCCGGCCGCCCTCCCCTTTTCCAGGGCACAGCTCTTACTTGGCACCCTGGTTCTCCTCGCTCAGCCATCTCTTCCCAACCTCAGGCATCCCTACTGCTCCAGGAAGAGATTCAGAGGGAGGGACACATCGTGGCTCGCTCTGGTCCTTGCCTGGGCCCAAGGCTGGGAGGAGGGGGGGATGCCAGTCTTGCCCGGGGCCTTATCATTGCCTGTGAGCCAGGGAGACAGAAGGTGTTCCCGTCAAGCCACGGGTTCGAGCCCTGCTTTCTGGCAGGCAGTGGAGCACCCCCAAGGGGAGGGCTATGTACTTTGTCTCCAGTGAGCGACCACTGTGTGGTGACTTTATGACGTCCAACATGCCATCCATTGTATGATTTACTGCTAACGCGGTGTGACCAAAATGCTCTTTTGGAGACGGGTGGTGGTAATGGTTGCACAACAGCAAGGCTGTACTTAATACCTTCGAGCTGTGCACTTAAAAATGGGGAGGATGGTACTTTGTAGCAATTAAAAATAATTTTAGAAAGCAAGTAAAGGAACATGACCTGAAAATGCCTTTTTAAAAAAATATATATTTTATTGATTTTTTACGGAGAGGAAGAGAGAGGGACAGAAAGTCAGAAACATCGATGAGAGAGAGTCATCGATCAGCTGTGTCTTGCACACCCCCTACTGGTACATGCCCTTGACCAGAATATAACCCGGGACCTTTCAGTCCGCAGGCTGACCCTCTATCCACTGAGCCAAACCAGTTTCGGCTGAGAATGCTTTCTTAAAACCAATTTTTATTTTGTGTATTTATTGGAAGAAACCTTTTTTTATTTATTTATATCTCAGTGTTTAAGTAAAAAAATCTCTCTTGTGTCTGCATGAAAAAGGAAATGATAGGCAAAAGAAATTGGCTGAAATTCAACCGAGCCTTGGGTTCAAACAGGGTTTGAACTGCACGAGTCCACTTACATATGGATATTTTTTTTAAATGCTGTAAATGCCTTTTCTCTTCCATATGATTTTCTTAATAACGCTCTCCTTTCTCTAATTTCCTTTATTGTAAGAATATAATACTTATAACATACAGAATATGTGTTAACTGACGGATTATGTTATTAGTAAAGCTATTTGTAGTTAATAGTAGGCTATTTGTCGGTAAGTTTCGGGGGAGCAAAAAGTTGTATGTGGATTTCGACTGCAAAGGGGGTTGGCCCCCCTAATCCTCGTGTTGTTCAAGGGTCACCTGTCGCCTAGATTTCCTTCACAGCCAGAGTCCGCCGCTCCGCAGCCCTGCGTGGATTCCGCGTCCCCGCGTGTCTCTGCAGCGTCCTCTGCGCGTCAGGAGTGTCATTAGGCACCATTCCTACGAGACCGCCCGCCTGTGTCAGAATTCCTCTCCACACCCCCGCTGCTCCTTCTGCAAACTCGATCGCGTGTGCTTTCCTGCTCCGCATGTGACTGGCAATCGTGCTGCCCTTTTCTCCGTGATAAAACGCACCACAGCCCCATCTGCTTGCGAGGCCGTTCCTGTCTTAGGTTTCATAAAACACTTGGCTGTTGTTTTGCAATAAAACATGGGACCGCTCTTCAATGGTAACTATTTGCTTCACTAACGCCACATTCTTGCTGCGCTCCAGTTTCCGTCTTTGTGTACACACAATAACTCGGTGTTTAACTGCGAAACCACAGTGTAACCTCCTTGAAGACATTTAAATAGCAATTAGGTTGAACGGATGTAGGCTTGAAGGGCGGGGAACTTACCTGACCAAGTTGAAGTGCGCACAGGCGGTGACAGCCACACCCGGCTGCTCCCACACAGCACGATGGAGAGACGTTAACAGGAGGAAGAGGAGGGGAGGAGAGGCAGCAGTTAGGATATCAGCGTGTTCCTGGCGCTCAGGCGGCCGCGCACTGCTCTCGACATGCTACACGCATTAACCCTGCACAGCAGTGCTGTGAGCTAGACATCCCATTTTTCAGAAATGAGGAGGAGCATGAGGCAGAGCGGGGTTCAGGAACTTTCCGGAGGCCACACAGCTGTGGGTGGGAGGCAGGATTAGAACCCCAGCAGTCTGGCTTCAAGACGGCTTCTAGATTGTGACAGTGAATCACTGCCTCACCTTCAGAAAGAATCGAGATGGAGAAGTGAGAAAGAATGCTAAAGCGTCAAAACCGGTTTGGCTCAGTGGATAGAGCGTCGGCCTGCAGACTGAAAGGTCCCGGGTTCGATTCCAGTCAAGGGCATGCATCTTGGTTGCGGGCACATTCCTAGTAGGGGGTGTGCAGGAGGCAGCTGGTCGATATTTCTCTCTCAATTGATGTGCCTAACTCTCTATCCCTCTCTCTTCCTCTCTGTTAAAAAAAAAAAAAAAAATCAATAAAATATATTAAAAAAAAAAAAAAAAGAATGCTAAAGGACTCTCACTTTTTCACACACACACACACACACACACACACACACACACACACGATTTGGGTGATGTTCACTGGTGACCTGAAGGTGGGCTGAAAGAGGGTGCCGCGGGGAGCTGTGCCGTGAGGACGTGGCACGAGGGAGCAGGATGGAATTGACCGCTGGTGCGCAGTGTTTCCTGCTCTGAGCTGAGCGGCACCTGCCCTCTGTTCTCCCCACGAGGTCAGAGAAAGTGGGTCACATCACAGCCTGGAGGCTGGGCCCCTGGGGGATGAGGGAGAGGGGACGGGGCCGCCCACAGTCCGGTGCAGGGGGACGTGTGGGGAGCGGACCCAGGCAGCAGCCGGCGGGAGGGGTGGGGGGCGGGGGCGGCCCTCAGGAAGCTGGGGGTGCCACCGGGTGTCGGATCCATGTGGTTCCGGGACA